CATGCTATAATAAAAAACTTTGTTAACACCCTGTACATTACTTTTCAAAATTAATACTTGTGCTGACTTTTAAGACAGAGAAATAAACTTTACTACAAAATTTGATTGTTTCCCTAAATGTATACAGGGGTATCAAAAACTGCTGGTCTATTTTAAATATTTATTTTACATAAAATCTTCGTTATTTCAAATGTAACACTCTGTATTTTTTTAAATAAGTTGAAGCAGATTTAAATGCTCTTTGAAACTATATTAAGGTTTCCTATACCTATCTGGTTCATATTTTGAATAAAAAGCGATTTTTCTATAAAATGGCAATCAAGATGGCTGGTGTCGCCATAGCAATTTTCTAGTGACAGTTAATAGCTTTTTAAACATCGATATTGATTTATGGAGTTTATTTAAAATTATAACAGTTTCTTCTTCTTATCACGCCCTCTCCTGCCGAAGGTTGGCGATCCAAATGGCAATTGTGGCTCTGGAAACTGCAGCCTGGAAGATTTCCGCAGACGGGCGTTCAAACCATCTCCTCAAATCTTTTAGCTATGAGTTCTGGCGTCTTCCTACTGATCTTTTCCCGTGCACTTTGCCCTCTATTATGAGGCGCAGTATTTCATATCTACCACCTCTCATCACATGACCCAGGTATTGCGTTTTTCTTTCCTTGATGGTGTTCAGTATCTCTTTTTGTTTCTGCATGCGCTGGAGTACTTCATCGTTGGTGATTCTTTGTACCCATGAGATTTGTAGCATCCGTCTCTATACATACATTTCAAAGGCTTCTATTCTCTTTTCGGTCTGTGAATCCAGTGTCCAGCTCTCTCTCCATAGAGTAACACAGAGAAGACGTAGCACCTGGCCATTCGTGTTCTGAGTTCCGCACTGAGATCTCGTCTTGTAAAAAATGATTTCATTCTCACGAAAATTTTTCTCGCTTGCTCAATTCTTGAAAATATTTCTCTTTTCGCGTCGCACTGACTATTGATGTTAGCTCCTAAATACTTTATTGAGGTCACTTGTTCGATTGTTTGTTCCTTGACACGCAGGTGTGCATTTATTGGAGTCTTAGAAAAGACCAATAGTTTGGTCTGGGAGACATTGAGATGCAGTCCAAACATCTCACTATAGTGGACTACGGAATCTATAATGCTTTGCAGTTCTTGTATATCGTTGGCTATTATAACCGTATCATCGGCATATCTGATATTGTTTATTGGGATTCCATTGAACTTGATTCCGCCCTGGATTCGATCCAGTGCTTCTCTAAATATAGTCTCCGAGTACAGATACATACAACAGGAGCGGAGACAAGATGCAACCTGCCGAACACCCCGTCTGATTTGTATATCTTCCGATGTTGACTGCTTCATCTCAACTACTGCCGTTTGATGCCATTAAAGTTCTGATATGAAACGTAAGTCTTGTTCCTCAACTCCGGTTGTTCTTAGAATTTTGATCATCTTCTGATGATTAACACAGTCGAACGCCTTACGATAGTCTATGAAGCATGCAAATACATTCACATTCATGTCTCTACACCTCTGTGTCATTACATTTAGGGAGAAGAGTGCTTCAGGCGTTCCGAGTCAGTTTCTGAAGCTAAACTGGGTGTTGTCCATCTGATTTTCGCACTTCTTGTAGATTCGCGTGTGGATGATTCTAAGAAATGTTTTGAGGACATGGGACATAAGGCTTATCATCCGATAGTCATCACAGTGTGAGGCGTTGGGTTTCTTTGACAGGGTTACGAATGTTGATTTAAGCCAAACTGACGGTATTTTGCTTGAGCTATATAATTTGTTAAATAATGCTGTTACCAAATCTAGACTTCTGCTTTCGTTAACTGCAATGAGTTTAAGTATTTCAACGTTTATTTTATCGGGGCCGGTAGCTTTTCCGCTTTTCTGCGCTTTTATTGCATGAACAACTTCGTCTTTGGTTATTGCTGGAGCCTTTTCATTCAGTATGTGATCTATCGGTGGTGGGAAACAAGGTCTCTCATCATTAAAAAGTGTTTCGATATATTCTTTCCATCTCGCAAGCTTAGCCTTTACTCCTAGAATTATCTCGTTGTTATCGTCCCTTAGGATTGTTTCTTGGTGTTTTCTGTGTCTGTTTGTAAATTCTTTCACTTTTTTATGAACATTGAAGGTGTCATACTTTGCTTGTAATTTTTTTGGAAAATGATTTACAGTAAGGTTTCCGTTCCTTTTCTGTACCGCAGTGGGAAGACCGTTTTTTGCTGATTCAGCAGCGCTCTTCCGTGTTCGGTACTGTACCGCTTCAAAGTCATTCTTCTCGCGCTATAGCCCAATTTTGGTGAAACTGTTGCCTTTCAGCAGTGCAGCCGCCCATTCTGGGACAGACGCTGCGTGGGAATCTTCTTAGCTTCACCTTAAGTGACATTTAGGGAAGCAATCAAATTTTTTAGTTTAAACAACAAATCAAGTATATTTCTCTGTCTTAAAATTCAGCACAATAATTAATTCTGAAAAGTAATGTACAGAGTGTTAGCAACCTTTTTTATTATAGCATACATAACTAAATATCTTTAAATATCTCAAAAACCAAACCTTTTAGATATATTAAACCCTTATAATAAATGCCTTAATAATTATGCACATTGCCTTCCCACATATACCCATAAAATATTTTGTTTCTACATCTTTCTGATTTTCTATAATTAACCGAGGCGAATGAGATGCGCCACCCTGTATAAAATGTCAACGATGTTATTTCTAAAGCTAATCGATGCCGTTTTTTAGATTTTAGACTATGAAAAAAGACTTTAGAGAAAATTATGCATTAATAAAATCTAATGGTAATTATGTTTGTTCCTGAATAAACTTCTATTTCTTTCTTAATATTGAGCTCCACAAAATTTGACTTTTAATGTCATTTAATTCAATAATTAAATAACTATGTAATGATCAACATTTTCATCTAACTTTAAATGTAAGTGTAAAACCGCTTTATCAATATAATTTTCTTTGAAAGTTTGCAATCTATAAACTTCTAACATCTATTAATGTTTTATTTTATTTCTAAATAAAATTGTTTTTTGATTTTTTTGTCGGATGAGTTGGCGTGCGTACGTACACTCTCATCACAATCCGAAGTTGTCAGTCAAGCAATAATTTTATTTGTGAGATATCATTAATTGTTTAATTGTTAACAAAAGAAGCTTTTACCCAAAATGAATTACAAAGGGTATATTTGTGACAATAAAAAAGTTATAAATAAAACAAAGTCGACAAATCCGCTAGCTAAGCTATCCTATAGGAGACTGCAAAAGGTCGCAAAAAAGTTAGAACTACCGGCAAAATTTAAGGTAAATTTGATTTCCAAGTGAAATTTTATTAGATTAGATAGTGAAATATAAGATCAGAAAATAGTCTTGTGGTTATTTGGAGCCTTTTATTCTGGATATTAGTCTAGTTTGGCGTAAAATCTCAAGTTTAGTCAGTCAATTTTGTTTTTTACTAGCTTTTTAGTAATTTGTCATAACATTAAATTGCAAAATTTAAATTTTGTGTATTATTTAACATTTTGAAGGCCCTAATAGGCTTCATAATGCCTAAACAAAGATTTGATAATTATTTAGATTAGAACTAGAACTAGACCTTGTTCCAAAATACTTATAGAATATTAGTATAGTTATAAATATATTTAACCACTTATAAGAAGTGATCTATATAATAATCTCTCTCTAATACACTTCTCATATACAGAATGTCCAATGTAAAAAAAGATTGTTTATGCTATCTAATATTGTTTATTCTATTGGACTATTGGGCAATATCAAAGAATGTCTCTGTCTATGGGGCAACCCTATAGATAGACGCGATTTTGATGCGACACGAGATTTCTCGAGCGTATAATATTTTTTCGTAATACCCAAAGTAAATTCACTTTGGCAATACCTATTGACACATGATTCAGAACCCAGTCATTAATTTTTTAATAAATATTTTATCTGCAGAAAAAAAAGTTAATGATTGCTAATTTGCTAATCATAAGAAAAAAAATAATTGCTAACACTGTATACAGGGTGGCGCACCTCATTCGCTTCGTTTGATTATACGAAAACGGAATGATTATACGAAAACGGAAAGATGTAGAAACAAAATATTTTATGGATATACATGTGGGAAGGCAATATGCATATTTTAAAATTATTTTCAAATGTACAACTAATGTCGATTTTGAAAATATTAGCTACTAACTAATTAACTGTCACGAGCAAATTGCCATGGCGACACCAGTCATCTTAATTGCCATTTTATTGAAAAATCGCTTTTTATTTAAAATCTGAGCCAGATAGGTATAGGAAACCATAGTATAGTTTGGAAGAGTATTTAAATCTGCTTCGAATTATTTTAAAAAATACATAGTGATGTATTTGAAATAACAAAGTTTTTATGTAAAATAAATATTTAAAATACACCAGCAATTTTTGATACCTCTGTATCTTTATTTCTCTGGCTTCAAAGTCAGCACAAAAATTAACTCTGAAAAGTAATGTACAGGGTGTTGACAAACTTTTTTTTATTATAGCATGCATATATAAGTATCTTTAAATATCTCAAAAACCAAAGCATTTAAACATATTAAACCCTTATAACAAATGGCCTATTTTTAGTACATTTGAAAATAATTATAAATTATGCACATTGATTTTCTACATATACCCGTAAAAAAACTTGTTTCTACATCTTTCCGTTTTCGTATAATCAACCGAGGCGAATGAGGTGCGCCACCCTGTATACTATAACGAAGTCTTCATTATTATTATTTGTCATTGCTAATAATTCGATCTTAACTATTTTTTCAATTAATTATTAGCTTTTTTGAAAGCTTTCTAACTAATATATTTTTTTTGGTATAAACTTCTAAATTTTTTGTGAACTTTTCAAAACAATCAAAAATATTTATCTTAGTTAATAATATGTATATTCGAAGATTTAAAAAGTATTTTGAAGAATTATTTATAATTTTAGCACAAGGTGTTATTGGCTTTGGTAATTGCTAAGAAACAATCAAGGGATGATATTGTTCAAGCTATATTTAAAACTGGAAATCGTATGCGTAATGGGCAGTCGGCTTTAGAGCCTGGTGAGTACCAATGATTTAAATTTATTACTATTATTGTTGTGCAAAATAATTTTAAGATTCAAATATACCGGATTGTTTTTACAAGAGTTACAAAATTTTTTTATTATTGAAATTTTGAGAAAAATGCATTCTTATAAAAATTTTTGTTTGAAAAAAAAAAACCTAAAAATGTTAATCCCGTTTTTTTAAGGTTGATTCTCACTATACCTTCCATATCAGCTCCCTTCCGTTTCCCTTCCGTTTACATAAAGAATTATATCATGTAAATGAATGGGACAATGCACACTATCCGTTCCGCTTCCCTTCCGTTCCATATCCTTTCCTTCCATACATTTTTTTGACGGACGGACTGAAGCGTACCGGAAACAGCGTTGTCAAGTTCTTACATTTGTACCAGCTCTGATAACATTTTGCTGATATTTATTTATTCTTTCACCTCTTAATTAAGTCTATTACCTTTTTCAAAAGATACAATTTTTTAAAATAAAACTTTCGTAATGATATAAATTGTACAATAAAAAATATGGAACTGATATGGAACGGAAGCTTACGTATAGCTTCAATACAGTAAAAAATACGGAACGGATATGGAATGGATATGGAATGGAAACGGAAGGTATAGTGAGAATCAACTTTTATACTTCCGAATTTCCATACCGTTTAAGGGAAAATAAAAAAAAACATAAAAATATATTTGATTTTTTTGCCCAAAGTGAAGTGTTGAAGTCCTAAAAATCAAAACGCGTTTCTGTGGTAGTACCGTATGATCGAAAAAAAAAACGGCGTCAGCGATGGCTATGAACAGATGATCACTGTCATTTTATATGTAAAATTCTATGGGGAACGTCATTGATGTTTATTTCCAAGCCCTCTGGACGCCGTTTTTTTTATCACATGATATAATTTTTCATTCTTTGGGAAATTTTTACTGATTTAATTTTAATTAACATCATATTTTTTTGCTGTTTTAAAATGCTCAAGAAGCACAAAATCTATTTAGTTCAATGTTACGGAAAGAGTAATAATAGATGGAAAATTTGATACTCTAAGAACAGCAAAAAAATATGACGTTAATCGAAATCAATAATATATAGCCATCTCTGTATCTATCTATATTATCTACTCTTTGAAAAATTCAACAATAATTTCATGTTTTTTTTTTAATTTTCGCTAAAACTGCATGGAAATTTGGAAAAGCAAAAACGGTATTAACTACTTTAGAACAAGGAAACATTTTTATGAAGAATGTATTTTTTCTGAAAATGTCAATAATAAAAAAGTTTTTTCTCTTGTACAGAGAATCCGGGGACATACTGTATGTGTTATGTATAAAAAATATTATTAATTAAAAAAAAAATACATCAGAGACTTCATTTGGTTTGCAATTAGATTTAATATTGACTTTTAAAAAATATAGAACATCGCTGTTTACACAAATATGAACCACTTTTTTATGAACCCCAAAATGCCGAAAACAAAATTGTTATACAGGTTGTTAACTCGACAGTTACTTATAGGGGAACAGAATGGCAACACTGCCTATTGAGAACGCATGCATTATTGATTTTTCTGCCGACTCATCCCGTTGCGTCGTCTATCGACAAGCGGGCCGAGGTTGCCATATTTCAACCATAAAGCTCTTGCCGCGAGTAATGAACAAATTAACAACCTGTATACACCCCCTTTCGTTTCTATGCTACAAGGCGACATTGAAAAATTTGTAATTTCAGGAACGCCTCCTATGACAGTTCTTCCGCATGTCAGCAAAGAATTTTTTTTTTTATTATAAAAGACACTTATTAATCTTTTGACATACTAATACTTCTTAATAAAATCAATGTTTATTTTCACTTAACGATAACTACTCCTCGCGGACTCAACCTCTAGATGCACTACTGGCTCTAACACAATATCCTTCTATATTTATTACCTCTTAACAAAACCAATTATAGAATAAATAATAAGAATAGCCCAACAAATCCACAAAATTTCAAATCAATTTCAACTGTGTCAATTGAATCTCCAAACAAATCTGTCAAAAATGGGGGGCATGATGCCACGATTCTGCTTCTGTAAGTTAATGTAAATATAAATCCCATCAAAAACATAGAATGTAAAAAAATGTCTCAACACAATTCTTTCACTATAAAAATTGTAAGATCTCATTTAAAACCAAGTCAGTTTATTTCATTTAATCTCTCATTAAGCACCTATTCAACAATTTTGTTAAAAATTGTTAGTATCAATATTAGTCATCTTTATTTCTGTAATAATTATAATGATTAGGCAATTGCACAGCACCATAAGTATAACAGAATAATCTACCATCTCGATTACTAAGTAAATCTAAGAGTGCCCTTAAAAATAATGTTTTTTTAATTAGAATAGAATAGAAGAAGAGTATATAATAGTAATAATATCATATCGTGCTATTTCCAAGTCATTATAATTATTATAGAAATAAATATGACTAATACTGATAATAACAATTTATAACAAAATTGTTAAATAGGTGCTTAAAGAGAGACTAAATAAAATAAACTGAATTGGTTTTACATGAGATCTCTCAACTTTTTAAAGTGAAAGAATTGTGTTGTGAGACTTGGCATTTTTTACATTCTATGTTTTTGATGGGATCTCATTTCTTTTTCTAGAATATCCTCCTATTTTTTTCTCTGGTAATGTATCATTCAAAATAATATTAAAGAAGTTTGACTAGCATAAAAACTAACGACTTGTGTTTCCGACTTTCGCTATAACCTAAATATCAACTTTAAAAATGTTCAATTTGTGATTTTACTATTCAAAATTATTCAAAAGATTATTCAAAATCATGTTTTTATCAATTTTACACATATTTTATTTTTAATCTCGCAAACTATCAGAGATAGGTACAGGTTAGTAAAATAAAAAAAATTATGAGATGTGAGAGTAGTTTTCAAAAATATAATAATATACTGGGTGTTCAGTTTAAAATAACAAAGATTCTACCACTTTCAAATGTTCCTGCAACACTGTAACGCTGATAATATTTTAGATAGATCGCCTTTATATAAAAATTTTGCCTTTATATAAAAATTCAAATTTTCAAAACAATCCTGTCACCGGTCCTCCTATTACCATCGCCAGAAAGTCGGTTACCGGTAGCGGCTAGACAGCCAAAATTTAATCCGTAAGGATATTTTAAGATTTTTCATTTTTCCTTTCCATTCATAAAAATCTTAAAGTTACCTAAAATTCGAAATTTTAGGTTTGTGACACATCTAGAAATACCTTAGAATTTTGATGATCTGTCAGTGAGTCAAATCCGAAATTAAAGAAATCATAATATATATATATAATACATACTAAAAAAAATCATAATCCTTGAATTATTGTTGATACATTAATATATAAATAAAATCTGAAGATACCGCTTCGATTAATTCTAGTTTTCCACCTTTTTCCTGACTGGAAAGTTAGTTACTGGTAGCGGCTAGACAGCTAACTTTTAATCCTTAAGGATATTTCGAGATTTTTCATTTTTTCCTTCCATTATAAGCTTAAAGCTACCTAAAATTATAAATTTGAAGTTTGTGACACATCTAGAAGTATCTTAGAATTTTGATGATTTATCAGTGGGTCAATGTCGAAATTAAAAAAAATTGACAAGAGATTCATAAAATATGAGGTATAATTACTAGATATTTTGGTAACCTGGCCTATAGTATGTCTTCATGCGTAGTGACAGTCAATATTCTTGCTTTATCCACAACGAAAAAACAGGCTGGTCAAAAGTGCTGCTAATACCTTTGAGAAAAGGATGGTACGGCTGTGCTCGACTTGGCGATAATATTAGCTTCCTTTCTTATTATTTTTAGGGTGGCTACAACGATGTCCCGTAATCCTCCTGTTAAAACATAATAGCTGGTTTTTATATATAAAAACTAGTTGTTATGTTTTAACAGCAGGATTACGGGACGTTGTTGTAGCCACCCTTATTCAAAGGCGTGGAAAGAAGAATGGTCATGAAAAAGTAATGGCATATTTGATTTCATAAAAAGTGATTAAGGTTCCTAAAACCATAAGGTGCTTTCCTTATTTATAAATGAAGAAAAAAATCAATTGCATCCTAAATGGAGCACTCACTACATAAATTAACAAACAAATTATTTTCGTACTCTTCATCAATTTAGATTCTGAACCATTACAACAACCGACATCCAATTCTAACATTTTCAATGCTGAAAATATTAGTCAAGAGACAGCAACAATGCATTCAGAATATAACTTTCAAAATGAATTGGCTCAAAGTACAACAAATTCTAATATCGATATGGATTCTCATGCGTCTCAAGAATCCATTCTGAACTTATATCATATAACCAACCCTGAGGGTATTAGTTACCAGATACCAACGACCTGTGGAGAAGAGGTGTCCAATCAAGGAACGACACTGACATTCTTTGATGGTAATTTAGATTCAGAACGGTTACAACAATCTATACCAGACGTAGGTGATATTCATAAGCCGGAAACTATTATTCATCAAATACCAACAAACTGGTCACAAAATAATTCTACAGATATTCTTACTGAATGTACTTCATTGCAACAAAGGATACCCAGCTTTGACAGTATTAGATATCATAAGCCACATCCAAAATTTAATTTTAAAAGTACTGAAAATACTATACTGGCTACTCCAATAGAATATGATCTTCAGAATACCGAAACCGATAGTGCTTATGGTTCTTTTTCTAGCAGTGTTAACTGTATTGAACCAGAAAAAGTTGATAGTGAAAACAACCTTGCAACACTTCATGGTGAAAATAACAATATTGCAGTACTGAAAAATATCGATTTTGAGATCGTACAGCCTAGTTCTAGTGCAAATCAAACTACCGACGAAGGGATTTTAATTTGGGGGAAGGATAATGAGGCTTCGTTTGCTATGGATCAAGTAGAAAACACAAATAGTGTTCCAGAAGCAGGCACATCCACAACTTTAAATTTTGATATATTTACAAATAAATCTGAAGGAGTTTTTCAGTATTTATACGATTAAATAAATTTGTTATATCCGTTAGATTTTTTTTTGCTATTTATAGTCTGTAAATATATACCATATGATTGATAAAAAACGGCGTCAGAGATGCCTTGGCAATGAAAATCGCTGTCAGTTTATATGTAAATTTATATAGGAAATCGTCATTTCCAAGCCAACTGGACACCGTTTTTTCTTCATATATTATTATATTGTATGTTAGTATTTAATTATTAAGCACCTTATTATAATTTGTCAATTTACATTTTTTAATTATATTCATGTTTTTGTCTATTAACAGCATATCTGTGATAGATATGAAACTAATCAGAATCTATAATGCAAATAAAAAGTAGATGGGCGTATCTTGTGCCTATAATTATTCATACATTATTTTGAACATTTTTGTATTAAGATATTTTTATACGTAAAAGTGATTTTTGTGTTTATTTATATAGTCGTAGGTACCATTTTCTACAATTATTATTGTCTTTCTAATAACGTAATAATAGTAATTTACATACATTTTTGTAAAAATTATTCCTTATAAATAAAATTCTATTTTGTAGTTAATTTTATTTTGGAATTGTTTTGGTTGTCTAAGATTTGTTTTTGTTTATAAAAATATAAAATGAAAATAAGATTTATGAAGGGCAACGGCCCAGCTACGTCGAAACACTTGTTCCCATTAGAACACCGAAGTTAAGCGACGCAAGGCGATACTAGTGGATGGACGGGTGACTGGTGCGAAACTCTGTATCGTGCTGTTGTCCAAAAAAAGGCAAAAGTGTAAAATCTATTGACACACACTGCTCATTCACGCCGCGACCGGTTCGAGGCCGGATGAGATCGGATATCTCGTGAGTAAGAGTCGATTTTACTTTTTTATTTTTACTTTTTATTATTTTAGTCACTTACCAAGTCGGCCATTGACCATGATATGGTCGAGGACCTCGATTCGGATTCCGCTTAAATAAAGTAGGCCCCGTTCAGATTAGCCCTGGCAGCAAAAATGAGACGTTAACTGAAATCTTTAGTTTACTTTAAGATTTATGATATACTAAATAATGTATGTAGTTATATTGATTCTTGTTCCTATAACAATAATTGAAGTATACAGGGTGCCAACGAAAGGTGATTATATTAGAGAAATAATGTGCACTCTTCAGCTTTATCCAGAACCTCAAATTTCGTGGAATAAATTAGTAGTTTCAATTAGAGCAGGTGTTTAGCTTTATTTAGAACCTCGCAATTAGTGGAATAAATTAGTGGTTTGAATTATTAAGCTTCATTCAGAACCTCGCAATAAGGAAGATGCATATATTTTATTTTTCGCCAGAAGCTGTTCAATTTAATTGGTCTGACGTCACCCGCCGTTCTCATCGACGCGCGATGGCCAGCATCAGCCAGACATGTTCCGTTTATGTACGTATTTAGGTGGCGTACTAAGACATTTTTGTTGCTTTTAGCTTTGATTGAAGGAACTTTTTATGCTTTTGTGCAATTATTATTTTTGTGTGTTGTATGTTCTGAGCATTTTTAAAGTAATGGCAGATTCCGGTTTTGTAAAAGCCCAATCAGATAACTTGCCAATAAAAGTCGATGCTTTTATGTTGGCTGATTTTATAAATACAAATTCCCAATTTATTGGTTCTGAATTACGAGGAAAAAAAAACAAAGAGGTATGTAACATTATTTATTTTTTGTAGTACTGAGGCATATTTAAAGTATAGGTAGGTACCTATTGTTACGAACTTTTATATAGTTATAAATTAATGTTATAAACTTATTTTTCAGATCAGGTAGGGAGACGTATGGAGATAATGCTGTAGGTTATGTAGAAGGTGAAAAGAGAGAAAAATATTTATGTACGTGGAAAAATAACCATAAAAAAATACCATGCAACTTTTGTATTTAATGTTTTCTTCTAAAACTTGCAGTTAAGGCTGTAGGTGTCAAAATATAATGAATAACCCTGTACATTCAAATTTCATATAATATGTAAGACAATATACATAAATATATGAACTTACATCAAAATGATCGTCACAACAATAAATTTCACGTTTTTCTTTTCATCTTTTCTCATGGCTTTGCACTATTTTTTTCTTATAGCATCATTCTTTGGTACACTAAAGAATATCTTGTCTGGCGTAGTATTAGTATTTTTACAAAGTATAGTAAGTAGTATTTTTACAAAGCGGAACCATGCAGTAATTTTAGAACTTCCCGACTGTTTTCGCTCATTCATTACTATTTATAAATATCACTAATTACTAATTATGAATTAATTAACACAAATAACTAAAATTTTGATTCGGATTCAACAGCGTTTAAAAGCAAACTGTGTAAAATACACACGCGTCTGGCTCCACTCAATCAGAAGAACGGCTGGTGACGTCACAGCGGCAGGGCCCGCTAAAGAGCGTTTGCCCGGCCATTTAAATAAACAATATTTAATTATTTTATATAAGAGGCATTTCTTAACCGATATCAAAGATTTTTTTTGTTCAATTTGTAATTATATAAACTATTTTTTAAAACCATTATTTAAAAACATACATTTTCCTCATTAGAGGAGTAAATTAGTGGTTTCAATTACACTTTACACTTATTAGTTTAAGATCATTCACAATGTTTAAAAACCACACTTAAAATTAATAGAATATCCTAGCAACAGCTTGCGTTAAGCTTGATTTTCATGCATCCGTTGTCCGATGATACGATGATACGATATTACTTTTATTGGTTGAATTTAAAGACTTCGATTGATTAGAAACGGTTAACCAGTTGAAGCCTTTAAATACAACCAATTAATATCGTATCAACGTATCGTCGGACAACGGATACATGAAAATCAAGCTTTAGTCAGTTGTATCCGTAGAGAACGCCTAATATTTAGATTATAAAACAATCAACTTTTGATTTTTAACTACAATTTCTCTTGACGGAATATAATCAAAAATGATATTTGTCGCAAATTTTGGAGTATAATTAGTAAAAAAGTCAAAACTTTGATAACTTTTTCTACTAATTGAAAATGTGTACCACTAATTTTGACCTTCTGAATGCTTATATTGAAATTAAAGGAAAAAACTTCCACGCTAATTAAAACCACTAAGTTATACATTAATTGCGAGGTTCTGAATAAAACTTTACACTTTATACTTTTAGTTTACGATCATTCACAATGTCTAAAAAACAATTAAAATTAATAGAATATCCTAGCAACCTAGGGAATATGGGAAATAGGAAAGCTTAATATTTAGCTTATAAAACAATAAACATTTGATGTCTAATCAAATGTTGTCTTGACGGATGATAATTAAAGGCCAAAATGACATTAATTTATTCCACTATTTGGGAATTGTGAATGAAGCTTTTGTTCCTCTAATTTCAATGTAACGGTTTAGCGCGTCAAAATTAGTGTCAAAATCTGTCAAGAGAACGTTAATATACACTTAAATATAATTGAATTCGCTAATTTATTCAACTAATTTCGATGTTTTAAATGAAGCGTTACACCGTGTATATGTATATACAAGGTAAGTATGTAAGTCAAGCTAAAGTTGTAGATTTTTTCAACAGATTAGTCTATATTTTTTATGGTATGATTTAAAACACTATAAAACACTGTATGGTTTCTGAAATATGGCCCCTTAAAACTCCAAAAGGAAATATAAACTAGCAAAAAAAAGAATAAACTATTAAATTGATTATATTTCTTTAAAAGGATTTTTTTATAAATTTAAAACTATAAGTATAGTTTTGAATTATTATTTTTTTCATATTTTTTGTATGTAGTGTTTTCAGTGTAACTATTTTCTTAAAATAAAATGATTAGATTTTTTTGAGTTTTATACATTTTTTGCATAATATTTTAAAGCAATCATTTGATATACGTCATTAAAATTTAAAAAGATTGTTTTTACAAAAGGAAAAACTTTTTTATTACTGATATTTTGAGAAAAATGAATTCTTCATTTTGCTTGTTCTAAAATGGTTAATCCGTAAGTCCTAAAAATCAGGCCTCACAGGTCGCAATGTTTTCGGCAGAGGACAGCCCCTTGTCACAAATTACCTACAACAGATGCGAAAGAACACCGAATTACGCGTTCAGGTTTCTGTGACCTTCAGAAAGAGTTCATAGACCAAACCAATATGTTATCGAGGCATACAAAAAGGTCCACAGACTTCGAGACATACGAAAAATCAAGTCCATTTAGCGTGTGTCGCAATTTTCACACCTTAAAAAATTAGTTTTTTATAGCTATAGCAACTGCAGCGACTATGAAAAAAGCTGTGTGATATTCATAGAAAATAAGGGCACCTGTAATTCATTTGACAATGTTATAAATCGCTAAAAGAGGTTTCAAATCTCTTGGATTTCTATTAATATTAAATAAATTTTATTAAAAATTGAACTAAAATTGTTAGTATCATTAAAAACAATTCAAATTCAAAAATTGTATCAGTCAAATTCCCTCATTTAAGGTGAATATTAAAGTAAATATAAATACAGCTCATTCTAAGCTCTACTTATCTTTAAGAAAAATTTAAATCATTGTTGCAATTGGGCCTTAGTGCCATTTCCTGAATGAACAATAGTATAATAATGTACATTATAATAATAATAAATTTTATATCATAGTGTGTATTAAAACTACTAAAACCCTTTTAAATTGATATTATATTAACAACTTTTGTTTTTTAATCCAAAAAAAAGTTACCAATTTTCTCAATCAGAATATTTGCGGTCCTGAAAAGGACCTCCGTTTTCCCATGTCCGTCAAGGTAGGTAATGGGTAAACGGTAAAAAAACAGGATAATGAAATTTAAAAAATTACAAAAATTGTTCAAAAGTGCCTCCCTCTTGCATTAAACAATAACCCAAATGATCATAAAATCCCCTCCACACATTGGATAACATATCAGGGGTGACAGTGTCAAAGGCATTAAATATTTTCTGTCTTAACTGCTCCAAGTTTTTAATTTCTTCATGGCCGTAAATTTTAGATTGTATGTACTCCCATAAAATCATTCACCGAGAAGTCAGGCGAAATTAAATGTCAGTCTAAACAAAACTGTAATTTTT